GTAATAACGTTTTCATGGTTAATGAAAATAAAAACTGAAGTTAAAAGGAACAGTGTATAAATTTCTAGAGCACGGCGCAAACTGTACACAGTGGTTATTAAAGCGTGGTCCGCAACTCTCTAACTCGAGTTCGGGGGACTGATTTTACGAAATTTCTTTTATTATTATTCATTTCAGGGTAATCAAATTATTCTACCTTTTCCAAGATTTTCCTGAGACTCATTTAATAATAATTCATACTACAAAATGTTTCAGCATTCTTTTATTAGCCTACTTTCCTCATTTTTAAAAAAGAATACAAGTAGGCTTATGTGATCGACATGCTGTCTGTCTCTCTATCTGTTCACCTATCAACTTTCGAACGCCCAAAGCAATCTTTATGAAACTTTGTATATCGTCGCACTTGAACCCATCTCAACGGCCTAATTCATAAATCCTTTCCATCAGTCTGTGTGTCTATATGATTAGCTTATCATTGTTAGGCAACGGCTAGTTAAGAACGTTATATGGCAACTAATACAAAAGCAACAATCGAAGAATATTTGGACTGGTCGTTTCCTAGGTGGTCCATATCGTATCAAAGGAAAGCAGGTGAGTACATACTTACTCATGGAGCTGAGCCCTTCTGGAGGAGCCGCAAATTCTGCAGCTACTCAAGAATTTCCCAGCATTTTATGGAACCCGAAGGTTCATTATCATGTTCACAAGAGCCCTCCACTGGTCCCTATCCTGAGCCAGATCTATCCAATCCATGCCATCCCATCGTATCTCTCTATGATGCATTCTAATATTATTCACCCACCTACGCCTTGGTCTTCCCTGTGGTCTCTTTCCTTCTGGCTTTCCCACCAATATCCTATACGCATTCCTCGTCTCCCCATGTTAGGCGCGTCCCCAGGTTGCGGATGGAGGAGACACCCTCCAGTTTTGGAGGGAAGCTGCGAATATATTGAATAAGCAGTCGCGGACAGCCGACAAGGGGTGGCCCTCCAGCTTTGGGGTTGGGCGTGGGGCTAACAATTCCTCACCGTAAAAAATCATTATGTTACGAAAATGAACACAAAGCAGGTGATTAGTGCCAGGAATTTCTTGTTAGTCATTCCATCCAAATGGTTAATCCCGTTCTGTCTGCGTGTGTATAATTTATTTGATATTGACTGTACTTTAGTTCTCTCCTATAGCACTAGGCTTGCCCAGCAAACTTATACTCCAGACTGAACAAGACGCGGCACTTCAGGTGTGCTGCATCCTAACGTAACTCTGAAATACAAACTGGTGGTTCAACCGATACTAGCGGATGTGATGACCCGGTCCAACGTCGGAGTTAGTCCCACATTCTCTGCTATCTCAAAAGTAATAAGAAATTAACTTAAATTGAAGCGTGAAGCTGACCACTCATCTCCACCTGATGCCGAGGTCAAGAAAATGTGGATCTATACATCCACTCCACCATACGCCTTCATGGAGTAGTGCTTAATTAGTTAAGCACAGGGAGAACTTTACATGAAACCCTACACAGAGCACATATTATCTGTGTTGTATTTGGGGTCTTACGAAGAGTTCTATACTCTTGGATATTATGTCATATAGACCTGTAGATTTTTATCGATTTCTGTGTGACTGCTTTCTTCCTGGTTGTTTAACTTCGCTTACTCTGTAACACTGGAGACGTAGGCAGTAAGTTCTCCGAAACGTCGCTAAACTTCTACCAAATTAAGCAAACTCGAACACCAAAAATATATATTTTTTTCTTGTTTTGTACATGCAGTAGAATTCCAGTGAATAAAGCACGGCTTTGAAACCACACCCAGGCATATCCGGTTAGTGTGCAATGCAGAGGTATAGTAACGCTGATGTCACTGTGGTAAATATTGGTGTCCTGAGGATTAGAAAGAAATTATTCCCTTGGAATCGTAAGATGAAGTGTCATTAGGCCAAGATTCTGTTAATAATACAGCTCTAGAGTAACAGGAGACGTTTATTTCAATTAATTTTCATTTATATATATAAATAAAAGCGATCAATATCAGTGCTTGTAACCGAGATATCTCGTGAGTAGCACGGTAAGGTAAAGTTGTCCTTCTGCTTAACTAATTAAGCACTATGCCATGAAGGCGTATGGGGGAGTGAATGTATAGAGCCACATTTTCTTGACCTCAGTACTAGCTGGAGGTGAGTGGTCAGCTTCACGCCCCGGCCGCTTTACTCCAGATGAAAGAGCTCCCAGTACCCATTGGACAGGATGTTGGGTGGGCCCCAGAGTCGGTCTGGAAGACGTGGATAAGAGAAAATTCTTGACCCTACCAGGACTCGAACTCTGACCCCTCAGTCACCCCGCCCTTAGCCAGTCGCTATACTGACTACGCTGTCCCGGCTCCAACCAATGATAAGACAAGAGATAAATTGAAAAATACATGGAAGGAAGCAGGTCATATTCATTCGAAATACTATCCCAGCATTTGTGAAGAGGAACTGAAGAAAACCGTGCCCGTGTCGCGGGCGAATTGAGCGCCAGATTGTTACTGCCACGCCAACCTGCTCAATATTACAATACTCAACGATGATCGTGCCATATGCTAAGAAGTAAGTGACCGCTTGGGTTCGATCCCACTCCAAGTCATGTGGAATTTGTGGTACATAACGTGGTGTTCGGGATATTTCCCCCTCCAATTGTTAATCTATCATCCACTTCAAATTACTTGATATCATCTGCAGAGAGAGTCTTTAGGAAAAAACTGGTAGACGAATCCGGGCGCATGGAGAACTTGCGCAAGTTTCAGACAATAGAAAATCAAGTTTCATTAGACAGGATTTAGTCAGGATTGATTGTTTTCATTCAACACAGAAACTTGATTTCATTGAAAAGACCAATTTAAGGAAACTGCAACGAAAATTATCTAAACGGGTGGCAGAAGACGAAAATACTGTTAGAATCCATATTATTTCAACTGCTGGAAGAGAGTTGCCGAAGCTGGAAGCAGAATGCCGACGTGGGTGGTTGAAGAGTGGGNGTTGAAGCGGGAGGGAGTTGTAGGGAGCCAGAGAGAGAGAGAGATATATATATACTTCATTGCTCGCGAGAAGAGGTATTCCCCGGGCACTGATTTCGATACCTCACATACCTCCTAGTTGGAAGGGAAGTTAGACTCATTCCATTCATAAAACTTCGCCCTAACCCCCATACCCCACCCCCATTGCAATGACGTCAGAAATAACGGCTCCGGCAACCTGCCAAAAAACCCAACCCCTAACCTGTTGTATGTCGGAGTGGTTCATTCATGAAAATGCCTACCCTCCTTCGCAACAGACACCAGCTGACAATAGGTGTGTAGGGGTTGCAGGAGGGGTGGTTTAGCTATTGACTTAACCTAGGATGGAGATTAAATAGAATGAATTATAGATGAAGTTTGTAACAGTGATGTTTAACGTAGGTTGTTGGGATTTGCTTTCATCCAATTTTATCGAACGAATGAAATTCGTTTAGGGCAACCCATTCATGATATAACCTCTCTCCATACATTCCGAATAATTAGTATTAGTTACAAACGATGTTTGTGAAGTGCATCACTAAACCACTGCACTGATACGTCAACTGAAAACCAATTTTATAACTAATACCGTCTGCATACATTGACACTCTAAGAAAGTTAAAGGCAAAAAACATAAAAGCTTTCCCTGTAACAGGCAGTAAAGGTCCACAGGGTTGTGAGACGTCGAGGCTCCCACATTTTCTAGAAAATCGGCTCACAGATGACGGTGAGGTTGTCAGCCTTACGCGCCGGTCGTCGTCCACCCCCAAGTAAGATTCCTGGTTCTCACTTCTATTAGAGGCTCAGTCGACCTTAGGGCCATAGTGCGGCTGGAAGTATGAGATAAATTGAAAAGAAATCCACCTCATCGGAACTCGAAACCGTGACCTTCCGGCTTGTAGCATAGTGTCTCAACCAACTACGCTACCGCGTGCCTCCCACTGTCCCTCTAAATGAATTAATTAACAAATGGAGCAGAGTCCTCCTTTAAAAGCTAACAGTTGCTTTTCTAGTCAAGAAATTTATGTAATTTCATGATTGTAGAATATAGATGAATAAGTTGCATGCTTCTAACAGGCACACACAGTACGTTCAATGTATTTTATTGTATTTTTCTTGGTTAAAAATAACCATTCTGCTTCCGTCATCAGCTCAGAGTCTGTCGAAACAATTAGGCTAAATTAGTCTCTCTACGGATCATGAACAGAAATTAGCTACATCTAGTAGACATAGCCGGTCACGGCAGCCGAGAGGTGTGAGGCATGATCTGTCTTCGCTCGCTCGGAAACCGGGATCGTGGGTTCGAATCCCACATAAGACATGGATGTTTGGTATGTGTATGTGTGACCGCCTCTGTGGTCTAGTGGTCAGAGTTCCTGGCTACAGATCCAGAGGCCCAGGTTCGATTATCAGCTCTACCAGATTTTCTGAGAAGGAAGGGGGTCCACTCAGCCTCGTGAGGATAAATGAGGAGATATTTCAAGGAAATGGCGGCTCCGGTATAGAGAACCGAAATTAACGGGCGTGGGGATTCGTTGCGCGGATCATTCAGCCAAGATATTTTATGTTTTCTTCATTAATTATGAAGTTTTATTGTCATGTTTACAAGAACCCAGCACCGGTCCCTGCCTCGAGCCAGATGAATCTAATCCGTATCTTGATTTTTTTCGCAATGATTTTTTTTCTAGGATGTGATGCCGTGTAGACTGGTAGATCTTTACCAACGTTTTCCATCCAGTTTTCAATTTAACTATTGCTGTTACTTATTTCCATGCTTTTGTATTCTGAAGACGGAGGCAGAAGGTCTCTGCGAAAAATTAATGATCTAACAGACTATATCGGGTCACATCTCAAATAATGGCAATCTTCATTTGAATGTCATCCTTCCGTCTACGGTTAAGTCTCGAAATTGATCTTTTACCTTAATTCTGTGTTTATTTCTGTATAAATGTTTTACTTTGTCTGAAACAGGAAACAGAAGATGGTCACCCCAGACCTCAGAAACGTTTTGTAAGCAATGAAGAATCTCTAGTGGAGGAACTCAGTGGGCTGAAGAAGTTGGCAGCTTAAATTTGGACAAATACAACCACAGAACAAAGATGGTGAAGTTGAAGGCCATGGTACTCATGGAGTACAGTACTGTGCTCTGTTAGTCCAAGGTCAGTGCAAGATCTAGCCTAGTTCAGTGTCTATGAAACAACCGCTCTGGCCACGCGCTACTGTAACCCTTGACACAAAGCAGGGAGAGGACTACTTAGGCCTCAGATGAACCAGAGATGATGGGAGAAAGACTTCAAGCCAAAGATTTTAAACATAAAAGATACTTTGGTATATCATAAATTATAATAACCAAGAACAATTTTAAGGTAATTTATGAGTTATTACAATGAGAAAATTGAATTTAAGATTGATGTATATATTCCTAAACGATGTGACAAATATATTTATTTATTTATATTTTTATTCAGTATAAAAGAAACTGTTCAAATCATATAATTCAATCTGTCATGTAATTATTTTAATTTTAAATTATAATATTTCTGTGATATTTCTTAATCGTATGAAATATTACAATAAATTTCATTAGCACCTCATAACAAAGCTACTTCACTATTGCTGCATAATTAATGTGACTGAAATGTTGATGGACTTTGCTGTAATATTCAATACGGTTAGTCTATCAATTTAAATATATTCTTCATCAAATATGACAACATCCGTTCAAATATGAGATATTTTCAAATGAAACCAGTTTGGTGATTTTTCTGAGCGAATGATTAGGGGCCATTACAAATATTCCCCGTAGGTGTTGAGGTACCCACTGCTTCCGTCTGTTCTAAAGAACTCTTTTTGTTGCACCGCTGCTGTATCATGCATACAGCCATCTGATCACCTACACCTCGAACGGGTTTCATTTGAACCTGGTATATTCTGTTATTCAGTTACAGAAAACCCTTAGAGATAACGTATTCTGAATATTTATATTTTTTAATATAGCAATTTATTTCTATGTACCCATAATTCATTGGCCTAATGGTTTTTGAACTTTAATTTAGACGCCCAGCAGTGAAAGTGTTTAAGATATAGATGACGTCATATAAGTCGGTTGCTATAACGGAAATACTTGCAATTAACGGAATATTCCTCTATAGCCTTTCTATTATTTCGTAGCTTGTAAGATTTTGTAAACAATTTAGAGGTGTTCTGTGCCGAGGAACGTCTTTTAGCTCCTTGATCTAGACTGCAAGGTTACACAGCCTTCAATTAGAACTGTTACATTCTAGTGTTATGATTTTTACGCTGTAAGTGTGGATGCTTTTACATGCGAAATTAAGCATACAATCTGAAGGAGGGTAAAGGGACTAAATCTGAGATAAACCTGCAAGGGAATACATTAGCCATTACGCGATAGATTCAGATAGTTAAGTACATTATTTTCATGGCCAAATGTTATATATCACCATCAACCAGCATTAGTGATCTGTGTAATTTATATGGAAATTAAAGAAAGGGATTATTTTGTGTTATTTGAAGCGTCGTACGGTGTGATTTGTGTAATAAACATTGGATAAAGTACATATATATTGTAACGTGTTTTTGCCACAGACGGGAGGGGGGGTGTTTACCTGCCTATTACCGTAGCAACGGCAACGCTCCGAAAGTGCCACGTCACCGCTGGCGGGGTGAGAGGGTGTCCTCCATAGAGCAACACGTCACACTGCTCCCTCCTTAAGGCTGTTCGTCCCGAATAGCCTAACGGTGCAAACCCGTTCCTTTTCTTCCAAGGATGTGCTTTCTGCGTCTCCTGCTATTTCGGCTACTCCTTGCAGCGGCTGTTTTCCGGCCGTTACAATATCATGAACGCGAAAGTGTGGAAAATAAGGTTTTCGTACAGTAAGCAACAAAGAAATTTTTTGTAGTTCCGTTCAACTCTTTACCAGCATATCTGTTTGATACAGGTCTTATTCTGGCTATATCACGGAGAATATGTCACTGGCTTGTAAGAATATGTTGCTGGTATGTGCTTTATATCTGAATTGTGTTACACAAAAACAGTCCGTTAATAAAGAAACTAAAAATCGACATATATTAATTAGACAAATTAGTATAAACGGCGTTGACGTCACACTTCAGGAGCTTCGAAATTAAGCATTTTAGTTTGGAGTCCAATTGGGTCCACTCGGCACGGCGGCCACTGATTGGCCTATTGTAGTCTGCCTCGGGTGATTATGATGGTGAATTTGGTGGAATGAAGATTGGCAGGGGAATCCGAAGTACTTGGACAAAACCCGCCCCAGCGCCACTTTGCCCACCACAAATCCCACTTGACCAGACCCGGGATCGAACCCGGGCCGCCGCGGTGGGAAGCCAGCGACTAACCGCTTGAGCTATGGCGCGGCCTATATTAAGCATTTAGTTTCAAGTTACAACTTTCTTATGGCAATGACGTCATTTGCACTATCTTACTCTGAGAAGTTCTTGTCAACTATAAACAGCACCTTCAACACTTTAATCCTTTCCGTGTTACGACCGAGATATTTCGCTCGTAATTACTGGTAGTCTACTCTGAGTAACAGCGACGACAAAATCGTCCAGGAATTTCCCGAAGGCTTATCACCGTATTAACAACAATTCGACACTGATCCAGAGGAATACATACCCTCATATGCTATTTATATAACTTATATTTTAATATTATCCTCTATGTACATTTTGATTTTTCAAGCAGCCTTTTATCTCCGGATTTCTTAATTAAAATTTTGTATGTATGTCTAATATCTCCCATGTGAGTCCAAAAAAGAAAGAGGTATGCACGGTTTATGGTTGCAATCTCACTGTACGCAGCGACAACTCGCTCTTAAAGATGCTATAACTTATGGTTTCAGGCTTAAGGAACAACGTATAAAAACTTCCGTCAAAATTTTCCTGATAATATTCTAATTCTAGCACGTCATATGTCAGAATTATATTCTGGACTTATGAATATTTTTATAAATTTGAAAGGACTAGTCAAATCGTGAGGCCTCCACCTACACGGGCATACATCCATGCCCAAAGTGGGATTCGATCCAATGATCCCAGTGTTAGAACGAACACAATCTGTCCGCTCCTTAGACCGTATGGTCATTGTTGCTTGCAGTGATATGCTTATTTGCGCAAATATATTCACTGCCACGTCTACAGGTGCGAGATATGTTGTCCCACTCGATAACTAGCTGCTTGTAGGATATAAACCGTAGGTTTGATGACCGACGGAGTTAGTTAACTCATATTGACACACAAACAGGTTTCAAACATGCCCCGTTGTAAAGTTATCCCTGTGCTTAACTAATTAAACACTACACCATGAAGGCGTATGGGGGAGTGGATGTGTAGATCCAAGTTTTCTTGACCTCGGCACTAGTTAGAGGTGAGTGGTTAGATTCACGCCTCGGCCGCTTTAACCCCGGGGAAAGAGCCTCCGGTATCCATTGAATATGAGGCTAGATGAGCCCCAGAACCAGTCAGAACGACGTGGAGAACTGAAAATTCTTGAACCTTACTGTGACTCGAACTCACACCCCTCGGCCTTCCAGTCCGTAGTCTATCGCTATAGGGACTGCGCTATTACTGCTCCCGTGATTTACCCGTACGGGCATAAATTAGATTTAATTAAATACTTAAATTAAAATAACAAGACTTTAATATTTAAACAATGGTTAAGAATATAATTTAATGTGCACTTCTGTTGCTTAAAAATAATTAATTTACTAATAACGATACCAAACAATTAGCAGGTTGGTCTAGACGTAACGTTCTATATTTCAATTCGGGAAGTTCTCCTTTCGAATCTCGGACAGAATATCGGCTATACTGAGTAGTCATCTACTTGGGTTTCCTCAGTCCTTCCAAGCAAACGCCAAAATAGTACGTTGATTAGGCAACGAACATTTCCTTCCAAATACTTTCCGATTTATAATTAATCATCCGACGCTGTATAGTCTTGATACTAATAAGTGTCTTTAAATAACCAACAAACTCTTTCAGTAGAAACCGTAGCCTAAAACGATTTATTCTACAATTAATATAACTGCATCATTTCGACTAAAATAAAGTTACAAGATATATGTATCGCTATGCTTGATTGAACATCATTTCGTAAATACAAATGAGAGAGTGGAAACAAGATCTATTTAGTCTTGACGTCAGTACTAGATGAAGGTTCTTAGCTTCACGTTCCGGCTGCCTTACCCCCGGAGAAAGAGCCCTCCATACTAATTGTGGGGGGCCAGTATCGGTCTGTATGCAACGAAGACAAATTTCTTGCCATTTCCGAGCATAGAACAGAACTTCCTCGATTGTCCAGCCTATAGCGCGGCCGCTATAGCAACTCAGCTATCACTTTCTTTAGAATAGCCCCTGATCATAATTCTACCGAAAGGAAATTATGTAGCCTCCTCATTACCACAAATTAAAATTGCTGTCACAGAAAATGAAACCGTGATATTTACACGGCTCTCCGTTCTACGTGACCAGAATGCTAGTTCTCCACCCTCCCCGCCATTCATAAAGCCCTGAGCGTCATCCCCCCTCCCCACGCTCTCACCCAGCGCCCACACAATGACGTCAGCTGTGTTGGAAATTAAATTTGTCCAGCGTCGCGGCGGCAGCTAGTGACGCACCAGTCGGAACTCGTCCAAGTGATCAAGCAGAAACAGATTTCAACAGTCAGACATCGGTCGCTTCAGTTTCCAATTGGTTTACGGGTTACGTAACTGAAGCGATGAATCCTGTTAACAACCGGTTATACATTGGAAAGGGTTGCATGAAATGCCTAACTTGCCTAACTCTGCCTTTGGGATGAGTTTTGTTGCTAAATGGAAATAATAAAGCGCGATTATTGTGTAGTGCTCTAAAGTTGTCTCAGTACTTAACAAATTAAGCACTAAGCCATGAAGGCGTATGGGGGGATTGGATGTATAGACCCACTTTTTCTTAATTTCAGCACTAGTTGGAAGTGAGTGGTCAGCTTCACGCCTTGGCCGTTTTATCCGCGGTATCCATTGGACAGGAGGTTTAATGGTCCCCAGAACCGGTCTGGACGTGGACAACGGAAGAATTTTGACCCTACCGGGATTCGAACTCCGGCTCCTCGGTTGTCCAGCCCTTAGCCAGTGGCTATACCAAATACGCTATCCATGGCCCCGTGCAGCCCTCTGAACCAATAAAAAGTGTTTTACGTGTCACTAGTTTTCCAGTTTGCGGATGACATAATCTGTTCCAATGCTCTGTTGTGCACAACGGAACTAAAGTTACAGCACATGGAAAGCATCATCGCATTTATTTTGCGCGTTACTGTACCCTGCCGTCAAAATGTGATCTACATAGCGTCGAATGGTCAGATGACAAATGATGAACTAGAAAAGATTCGTAAGGCAAATGTAGGGGGCTTTTAGAGGTGTTACTCAAGCATTTGCGTAGACGGGCTGAGAAACCCGATGCAAACCCTAGTGTAGCCATTGTCCCAAACGAGATTCGAATAAAGCGTCTCCCACACAAGATTCAAGAACACAACATCAGCCCTTTAGTTTCGAGGCATACGTAATTGACTTCGTTGAGCGTGTCCCATGGAACCCGAAGGTTCATTAGCCCTAAGTCAAACAAATTAATACAATTCAGGCCCTTTAAATCAATTTCTTTGCGAATCAATTGTAATGTCACCGCGCCTGCGCACACAGCAGAAACAGAACAATTCTGAACACATTCGTATCCTTTATAAACTTTCAGTTTTTGACACCAGAATGGAACAACTTGAAACAGACATTAATCAAGGAACTCGTGTAGAATCATAGTAATCAACGTATGGCGGTCTAGAGTTAAGATCCTAATCGTCAACGTATGGTGGTCTAGAGCTAATATCCTAATCGTCGATTTACTGCGGTCTAGAGTTAAGATTTTCTGTCATAGGTTCGAGACCAGTCCGGTTATTTCCCGTATCTTCAAAATTTCTCGCTTACAACGAAGTCAAAACTTTATGCACTTGGATTTGATCTCGCCTCAAATTGGAGTTTAACTTTGCGGTCCACAATCATCTTCATTATCGTCATGTCATCTGATACGAAACGCAGATTCCACCCTATGAATGCATTCGTTTGAAACGTGAATTTATAATTTCATATTAACAAGAGTAGTTAAGGACCTCAGGTTGAGCTATAATAATTAATTATTCAATGTGTATATGTATTGTTCATTTTGAGTTGCTGTCAGTAATTATGATTATAATGTCGAATTGTATGACGATTAATTACATAATAATTTGGAAATTATCTGAAAGGAATCAGTCGCGGCGTATTTAAAGGAACTATCCTGACATTCACTTAGAGGTACTGAGAAAAATCACGAGAAACGTCAGTCAAGATAGTCGATGGGTCCGTGTCGAGATTCCAACTTGCCGAATACAGTCAGAAATGTTACTGTCTGAACTAACTTCCTGAGTAACTGGGAGCAGACACCTCACATATAACCGTAATTAAGACTCTACTTAAGAGAAATTAACTGCTTCGTCAAACACGAATTCAAAGTACATGTCAGTCACATCTACAAAGGAGTTTTTCTCTATGAACCACACTCTTAAGGGACACTGTACTGATTATGTTGCTGCCGCGTGGCTTATGATTAGCTATTTAAGTCGTATTAATCCTTTAAAGACTGAATTTCTTCTAAATAATATATAAGAATTCTGTTCGTACCTCACAGGAAAACACATTACGTCTCCGCTACAAAGCCCAACCGATTAATATTGTTTAGGGAAACAGTCGCTGTTTATTGTGAGAACCATACGAACACACAAATACATTAAGTCGACAGAATCCACTGTATTAATACGTTAAAGCAGGTGGTACATATGGTAACCATTGGGAATTAATGTATTAAGAAGGTCGCTGCCTTCTGGGATGTGTCGACATATAGTCAAGATCTAAGATCTAAGATAATCACGGTCTCGAGAAACTTAAAATCTCGTTTATTAACATGGTTACACAAATAGTAATTACATGTTATCAGTGAAGCTTCGATTTTACGCTTTCGAAGGGACCATATATAATAAATATATAATAGACTGTAAAATCAGGGAAATGAAAATGATGCAACGCAAAGAAAGGCGTGGTTTATTATATACCGCAGCTAGGGCAAACCTTTTTAACATATGTGTTTTAACACAATAAAGATATATATGCAAATATATTATTTCTTTAACCAATCGAATTCGTTTCTTTATTCTTGAGCTCTCAGCACACCTCTCTCACGTGAGGACGAAAACATTTAATATACAAACATATGCCTACTGTACAAAGACAAGCACTTTACAAGAGCGAAACTGTGCTTGTATTTCTTCAGATTTTCATAAATAGATATTTAAAAACTTATTATCTAGTTTATCTGTGTGGTCAAGACTCGAAAAACGAAGTGAAAATTCGAAAAACAAAAAAATATTTGAATAAATGTAAAACTGTTTAACGTTTAAATATTGTAGGACTGCTGTTATAGCCATGTAGCTGGGACCAAATGAAAAGCGAAGTCTGGAAATTTCAAAACCGTTAGCTGAAAATCGAAGTTTCACTGAATTTCTCTTCAGCTTACGCAGGACATAAATTTAATAAAAAGGATACATAACTTAAATTATTATAAATATGTTATAACCATTATTGGATATTTAAGTTTTGAGGTTTTCACGGCGATGACTATGAAGATAGTCGTCATCTGGGATCTGGCGCCGTGCATTCTTGGTTTTAACCGACGTTTCGGAGGAACGTTCCTCCGAAACGTCGGTTAAAACCAAGAATGCACGGCGCCAGATCCCAGAAGACTACTTGTTTCATTATTGGATATTGTTTCAATAAATTTAAAATGCAGTTCTTGATAGATTTAAATTTTCTAAAATAGAAAAAATGCTGATTTAACATAAAACTCTACGTCAACTGTTGAGATAGACTTTAGGCCTATCAGAAAATCTGTCTTGAGATTTGAAACAACTGTGGATAACTTCTGAAGAACTGTCTAACTGATCATGCATAGAATGAGAACAACATACGAGTGTCTCTGCTGATTCGCATTTATATTGACTATAAATAGCACATATTTCTTTAGCATTAACTGTCAGTGACTTAAGGAATTAAGTTCAATATCCAATGGCCAGTTATGTCTTGCTGTCTATAAAAGTTATAATGATATTTCAGTATCAGTGTGTGGTGAAAATAACTTAAATTTACCATCATTTGCCAACCACGTTATCGTAACCAACTTGGAAGTTCATTTTTAAAAGTAAGACACAAAACCTAAAGTTAAAATCTGTCTCCAGCAAAATGTCCATGGGGTTGGGCTTCTGGCTTTGTTTTTAGAAATAAACCTTCTAGGGTTAGGAGTTTGGTTTTGTTTGTAAGAACAAGATGTTATAGTGGGCATCACTAACGTGGCGGACGACATAACGGTAATGTGTTGAATCATTAAAGCCACCCTTTTAATAATATTAAGGATTGCTAGATTTAAAATAGAATGTGGATTTCGATAACAACGGAGAAGTTTCATAATGTGGCGTGTAGACCCGTTGCTAGACAACGACCGCAACACACACGCGGCCAACAGTATAGGAAGAGCGTTTTCTATTTCCGCGGACAGACCGTTACTATGCAACGCGCGCGTCACAATAATATTTTGTAGATGTTTCTGTGACCTTGGGCCATTGCAAACATCGATGTGCTTTCACAAAATAATAATACATAAGAACCAACGTTATATAGGATTTTTCGTTGATTCCACACTTATACAAATATAATCCAGGCGTTTGAGACTGACTTTGTACAGAATATAAATACTGTTAGTATTAGTGATGATAGTGTTTAAACAAATATATATAGCTGTTTCTAGCGGTATGTAATAGAGCTAATATTTAAAATATATTTAACTTGTTAGTATATATTATATATAAGACTTGTGTTAGTGGTGTTCTTAACATATGTACAAGGTAAATGATTTGAGTATATGGAATACTTTTCATGTTTTTAATATTATAATTGTATAAAGAGCGCGTTACTTATCAGCTTTTCTTTTATGCTACACTAGGAATGTCTACGGAAGGCATGTAAACAAAACACTGCCGACAGGTAGTAGCGTGTTCCATTCTTACGGCCTTGAATCTGGCGAAGTACTCTTCGAGTGGAACACAAGACATTTCTCTTCATATTTGTGTCTCGTTTGTTTACATGAGCTCCGTAGACATTCCGAACGAAGTATAGGTACTTCCTTGTACAAAAGTGTTTCTTAGAACCGGGTTTATCTACTTCAGTTTTAAATATTTTCTTTTATTGCTAGTGGGGTGGGACTAAGGCCCTTGTACTGCGGCCACTTCTGGCCTATTGTACCAGCCCCAGATGATTAGGTGAGGGTGATTGTGGAGCAATTGGTGGAATGAAGATTGGCAAGGAAAACCGAAGTACTCGGAGAAAACCTGCCCCAGAGCCACTTTGTCCACCAGAAATCCCACTTAACCAGAACTGGGATCGAGCCTGGGCCGCCGCGGTGGAAAGCCAGCGACTAACCGCTTGAGCTATGGCGCGGCCATTCAGTTTTAAATAACTACATTATAATGGCCCGAATACGATATATAAATAACAAATTTATTTAATTATTTATTACATCTAAATAATAAAATTATTTGTTTATTATAAGGACTGATCTTGAATTAAAGTTACCAGATTGATACTTGTATTGTTCGTGGTGCAAAATAATTTTACTTTCAATTTTTTTAAAGTAAATAATATATATATATATATAGTAACTCATAGATCTAGTAGACAGTGGCTCTCTGAAAGAAAGTAAAATTATAAACACAAAAACAATTCCCGTTTTTTAAATTGTGAATTCGTGTAATTTTGCACCTTACTCTCAGTTATGTCTGTGTATATTTACAGTACGTCAATTACTCAACATTAGAGCCAAAAATATTTCTCTGTAATGCTGAATGCCCCCCACCCCCTTAACTACCGTAAGACACAACAGCGCGGCAATGTGTTTTCATTTGTTAGTGCATAATTAAAATACATTCTTCTGGGTTGTGGCGCTGCGTAGTCTGGTAGGGAGTTATGTATGTTTCGGAGGACGTAAATCCGGTAAGAAACAAAACAGCATCTGTCTGCTTCTTGCTGTTTTGTCGGAGAAGGTTATTTTCTTCCGAAACGTCCGTAATTTGCTATAAGAATACATGAATTGTAGTACTCTTCACAAACACCACTATCAGAACCAAAAATCTCATGTAATATAAAACTTATCAAAATTTAATGTAATATTAGTTCATTTACACAAAATACATTTTTAACTGAAGTCTATAACCCCAGGAATTGATCATCTATACTAAAAGTAATATAAATACATATTTAATTACTTGTATTATATTGTTTCGTCTAACGTCAATGGACTTTCCACATGTTTCAATTCTACACGAGTCTCTTCCAATGGCAGCTAGGAATTTGCAACATTTTCCTGTCAAATATTTGTACATAAAAATGGCCTATTAGATATACAGTATCACTGCACACTGGAGTGTGTTATTTAAATGCTGTTAACTGTTAAGTATGTGTTACATCATTATTAATTGTTGTTTAACTACAATAATGAAGTATAATATTTATACACGTAGGTCTAATTAAGAGTATACGGAAACCTGAATTTCGGAGACTGAGGCGAAATATCCACGTATTAAATGCCCCGTGTAGACTTCCGTTCACGTATACTACTGTTCATATGTTTATACCTGGCCGTTCTCAATGAAGTGAGCAGTCAATTCGGTCGAGTCCATTGACTGAGATGGGGTTTGTAATAGGTATGTATGGTTCATAACAGGGTCTAGACACGATGCATCATCATCCCCTCCCTCCAACAATGCAGCTGCAACTATTGGCTGAATACTTGTTCCAATACTTCCCCTCCCCCCAATTCCACTCATGCGCAGTCTAGAGGCCATGCCTAAAAATACGGACTGTACATCAAATTATGAAATATGTGCACAGCCTTTAACAGCCTCTAGATTTTCTGTTCGTGATTATTAATGTATGTTGCTATTTGTAAGTAGGTAAAGCAGGTGGGGAGAATGATCTGCGACAAAATAAGTCCAAGGATTCCGGACTTAAGTTATCACACAAATCCCTTTTGTTTAATTACCTTGGAACCCGTTAAGACTTCGATAAAAGACAATTCTCGATTTATGCAGCAGTTGTTTTCCTGAAAAGAACTCTGTGAATTTTAAACGTAAATAATAATAATGAGAAGAAATTTATTCAGAAAATTTCCGAAATTCAGCTTCGTGTATACTCTGTACAGACGGCGTTACTTATTATAAAAACTATTTAATAGCATTCCAGTTGTCCTAACATTAGCAAACAAAGTACCTGTGATATGACAGAGAAACATGGACTGTGTGCATAGTATATTTCTAAGCGAACAACCATGTCTACTCCAAGTACAGTGATGGGTAATTTCGTAACTTTATTTTTAAACTTCATGATTTGATATTATGACAAATTACATGTATATATTCTAGTATTTTATTTTCGAAAGATAGAATAGTTTGCAACATCGGTATGCATTAGGCCTTTAAATTAAAATTTAAATCGAGTTAAAGTGATTTAAATTCTTATGCAAATTAGTGTTTCTAATCCAAACTACATTGTTAGCCGATTAAGTGTAACTCTACCACGAACATTTAATATTTTAGGCCTACAGCCATAAATATATATATACATATACATATAATTCTAAAATAAAAATGGCGTTTGGGATAGATGCACAAATTATTCTGTTACAGTGGACGAGAAAAACACAGATCATAAATAAGTTATCTTCTCCCCAAAATTTAAAAAAGTACTTTTGTAATTAATTGTTATTGAGAGTGTTAAAACTTCGCCGCTAATCAATGGTTGAGACAACACTGGTTCAAATAAAATTAAAAGTAAAAAAGGTAAAGCTATCGCTGTAACAGGCCGTGACCGCCCATAGGGCTGTGAGACGTCGAGGCTCCCACATTTTCCAGACAGTCGGCTTAGAGATGGCGGTAAGGTTGTCAGCCTTACGTTCCGGTCGCCTTTTACCCCTCAGGAAGATTCCTGGTACTCATTTCTGTTAGAGGCCGAGTCGACCCCAGGGCCATAGTGCGGCTGGAAGGATTACGTCAATTGAAAGAAATCTAATGACCTCATCGGGAATCGAACCACATTAATAGTATCCACGAAATATCTGTAAAGTTATTAAGTAAATATTTTCATCAATTATAATTAAATTAATATGTAAAATCTCTCACGTAGAAAATAAACATTTATTAATTCTTATGTATTTCGCTTAAACAAAACATTTAAATTGCATTCCTTATGAACATAAACGAAGTGAAGCAAACTTCTATGTGCCCGTTATTACAGTAAACATATACAGTTCCGAGATGGACATCACTTGGCGGCACGACATTCTAGTACTCGCCACGAAACTAGATGGTGACTCCATATTGGAGCTGCTAAAACTGTCTTTGAAACACGTACTTAATTTTGTGTAAAATAAAACATCTCATGAAACTGTTTGCGTTAACATATATTCCCGTTACAAATGTTTGCTTACATTACACAGTAACTGAAATATTATCAAAGAATAAAAGTATAATTTTAATTTTAATAAAATAAAAATATAATTTATATATGAGAAGTCGGTGCAATTTTAAACACTTAACTTCGAATGCAACCCCCTCCCCCAAATAACATAATAAGAAGAAATTATTTTTGCTGACAAATATGGTACAAAAGAGTTTGCTTTGATACAAGTAATTCTTATTAATTTATTAAAGCAAGGTGTCACTATCACATGTCACAGACGTACAACAACACATGGGAGCATAAAAGAGGGTACATATTTGAACTGTATTCACTGACGAAAGTGTAGAAGTTTTCAACAACAATTTTCGAAGCATCTGATGATCACCAAATCTGTCGTGTAATAAGCTCCAGTGATGTAAAAGATGATTTAAAATTTAACGTGAATTTTATGATAATTTCTGAACGTCAGACCGTGAATAAGAAGTGACTCTACCGCCAAATTAACCTCCTCGTTAGCGCTGCCAGCTATAAAATTTTATTTGTACAAAAATACCCAAAAGCATAACCTAAGAAAGTTCTTGCATATTTATTTTTTTAAAACGACGGCAAAAGCCTAATATTTTCTCACCGTAACCAAAGAAACCAACTTAAAAAAAAAACAAAAGCTTAATATTGTGGACATGTTGAAGATAAATTCTAATATTAGTCTTTGTGCCTTGTTTTCACAAATAAACTTCTAAAGTTATTAGCCATAACATAGCCTTAACATTTTAAGTAATTTGGGTCATCCCAAACACGTAAATACCTACATTTATAAACCATACTTGTAGTACTGTTATACGAAATGCCTTATCAAACTGTATTTTGTCTAAGACATGGTTGTATCCTTAATGTTCTTTGACTTACTTATATAAAGTGAATAAAACAAAATACAGTGTAAGTGTTGATCAATTATGCGTGTCAGCTCAAATTAGCCAATTCCATTATACATTTGTAAATATAAGCATGGAGTATTGTAATGTTAGAACATAAGTTTATTGTGGACGAATCTGTATATTAGGCTGAGATTAGACAGTTTCGGTGGCCAAGTATTTTTCTGTTTACTGACGTGAATGCCAGAAGCAGTAGCTGAGCTAACACAAAGTGAAACTTTTCTTAAACCCGTAAATTCACCTCGCTCTGTGAACTGAATTAAACATTCAACTGGATTACTTTAATAATAAATACTGACGCATTATTATTTTTGTCGGTTAATTAACGACGCTCAACATCGAGAACATAGCGTCGGATGATGATTGATGAATCTGAAAGCTATAGTATTGAGCGGTAATATTCTAAACGTGGTAATATCCCGGTATCTGTTTGAAGGGACTGAGTAAAAACCATGAAAGCCATCAATCAGGAAATCCGGTAACTCGGTTGAGATTCGAACCGATTATCTTCCGAATACAAGTCTAGAATTTGCCTCCAGCACAACCTGTTCTTTGGCAAATTAATTTTCTAAATAAACTTAAAATATGGACTACAAAATATTGGTTCAACATATTCATTCAAACGCAAAGTAATATTATATATTGTTTTAACCCCAGAAGTGCCAACTGCAATTCACATAGTAGAAAGTCGCCATTTTAGGTTGTTAGAACTTCTATTTCATATGTATTTTTTTTTTGCCTGTTATTTGACGATGCTGTCAGTTTGTAGAATACAAAAAGTCGAACTGTAGGATGACTCGTGAATAACAACTCGTGTAGCATTCGGAAGGAAGTGGACATGGACTAATCGAGCTTACGTCACAGCGTTTGCCTGGAGGGACAGAGGAAAACCATGAAAAACCTGAGCCAGAATAGTTTGTGTCCAACCAGAGATTCATTCCGTAAACCTACTAAATATGAGTTTAGACTGTTACCGCTATGCTAACTCTACCAGTAATCATGGGAAAATAATGTATACAAAAACGTCTTAAGAGCTTCAGATGTAGAGAAAAATTCCCTTCAATATTTCTTGACTACGTACTTCATAAAAGTTTTAACAGATGTCATACAATGTCAGAAATAGCAATTATTATAATCATCGAAATTTTAGACGCTTGGCACTTTTAGGGTTAATAATAGTTCTTAATAAATGCAACTGAATGAATCCAACATATCACCAAATATATACACACACCAATAATTTTAAAAATGAAAATTTTCATCTGCACAACGAAATATCTACACTGACTACAAACATGACGGTCTTAAATTAAACATATTTAAATAATTACTTTAGATTATTACCAAATGACATAGAATCGATGCAATTAAATTTCATAATATGAATTAATAAAAATAATATTGAAATCGAATAATGTACAAAACAAAGAAATAATATCCAAAATTTATAAATCGAAATATCTTACTTTAATTGCAGGTGTCATGAATGATCTGCTAAGATTCTATAGCGCAGAATGACAATATAATGCATAAATATTATTAATTTAATTTGAAATTGTGTTAAAGGAAACGACAGGTCCTTAGCTGAAAGTAGCATTTCCTCATTTACTTATGCAGAATGAGAACAATTATAATAACAACAAAATCTGTCACGATAGTAGTCTTTGCCAAGAATAGAGCCCAGGACCTTTCGAACAATAGTCAGGATTGTTACCTATTCAATCAGGAAGTTCAATCTTGGATATGAAGTGGCCGCCTTTGTTCAACGTCCTTGATGCTCATAATTCACAAAATTAGCCCCCAAATTCTCAAATCTTAAAGTACTATAACGGAGTATCAGAATACTTTAAAAGATAAAATGATGATTATATGAGCTTGTTATTATGCTTCTCGTATTCATTTTTGTAATTTTATTTAAATTATGCATATTAAAATGGCCAAAGTGCTAATGGATATTATAATAATTACAAGTTTTCAGCCTAAGAACTTCAGAATAACTAACACTAAATTTATATACAAAATATACACTAATTATACTTTTGTTTTGACGTCAAATAACTCTTTAAGATTTACTTTTGTAAGAGTTAATGATGTCATGTACTGAATATTGACTGAAGATGCTAAATGTATATTAAGACAACTAAAATCCCATGGCATTCCTGGAACAGAGATGGCGCAGTGAAGAGAATTCATATTAAAATACATTAACTTTTCTACAATGATTTGTTAATTAGCCTGAAATCAGACTGAAGAATTGGCAGTTCATCCCCTAATCTAATAGCCCCTTCTTGTTCCATGGATTCATGAACTAATGTACTGCAAGCTCAGATTATAGAATATGATAATAATATTACCTTCATTGAGAAAGCTAAATTCTGGCTATAACGATGGTAATGTAATCCTAGCAGTGTCTTCTATGTGCATTTTAAATGTATAGGAAAATGTCGCCTAAAAATAGAACATGAAACATATGTTACATACAGTCTGTGCTTTTAGACCTGGCCGCTCTCAACAGAATGCGCACTGGATTGTGTCCTGACCACTAACTGAGATACGCATTGTAGGATGTGTATGGGTAACAAGCGGGGCCGTAGTTATATTTCGACAACTTCCCTCCCACAATTTTAAGTACTGGCCCCCCACTACTTCTTGCCATACTTCTCCTCACTTCTCCTCATGCGCAACATAGTGGCCAGACCTAAAAACATGGCCTGTATCACTCATATAAACAAAATGTAAATACTGTTAGAGAAAAAATATGTAATATATGAATATGTGTTTTGGTAATTCATGGAGCCAATAACAATGGATGTCTATTTATCTTTGGTGGGAAAAATGTAAAATTATTTTGATCTAACCAGAAATTATACACTCAATATAAATTTAAAATAAAAACATATGTACACAAAATATCATCTTATGATTGTGGTGTATGAAAAACCACCAATGTTGTGAGGAGTGCCTACAAATGAATACCGAATTAACAGAAAGTTTTAGGAAATGTTACATAAGATGATGTTTTGTTTATTATAATCGTCTGATATTTTGTAAAGTGTTCAAAATGGAATATATATAAGAAGAGAAAAGGCGTGGAAAATGTTTCGGCTTAATATATGTTAATTCTCTCAGATAAAAACTTCCAAACTTTCTGTGATTGGAACCCCTTCAAAAAGTTTAAAAATATATTTCTGAGCCCCTTGAATAGAAGAACTTCAAAAATGCATAATTTCATGTTCTTATAAATGAACAAATGTCACATTCATGTGTCATATTTAAAAGCTTATTGTGAGTGGGTTCAAAGTGAATGTAATACTCATAGATAATTTTCAATCTGAATGCTAAAAATTAAGACTTATGATACCTCAGTTAAGCTGCTTTGGTACCCTTAGATGTACCAGTACTACAACCTGAAAAAAAGCTGTGTTAGATTATTCTATCGCCTATTACTTTCTTATACTTTGGCTTTGTACTATTATTCACTATCTAAAAGTTACAATTT